CACACACACACACACACACACACACACACACACACACACACACAGCCTGATTAGTGCCGCCACCGTGGGCTGGCGCTTCCTCTGTGGGTCGCTGCATTCCTCCTGTGTCCCGTCCTCCTGTCAGCTGCTGCGTGTCGCCGACCGTGTTCCCACTTTGACCAAAGCCTGTCTGGAGCCGCAGCGACCTCACACACACACCGCCACATGGCAGGAGCGCTGTCGCCACTTTAAGTCCGTTTGTCTTTGTTCTGCCCGGCGATAGGACCATCACCCCCCCCATCACATCAACCGAACAGTCACATTTACATCCTGACAGCCGGCACATCATCATCATCCTCATCATCATCATCATCATCATCATCATCATCATCATCATCATGGAAGCCAACATTTAAAAACAAATAACTGATAAATCTAAGAAACATAAACTATACTGTGGTGAAATTTAATGTTTCAGGAGGAAAATGGAGCTGATACTGTAATCCTTAAACTCTTGATTAAAACCAAGAACAGGAAGGTTGGAGAGTGACGTGAAGGTTGATGGTTCCAATCCGACCTATTTGACCCTGGAGATCTGCAGGGAGCAGACTGAACCCCTGAGGAGGTAATGACCACCTACCGTCCTCTGGAGGCGGTCTGATGACCAGCCGTATGTCTGAATGTTTCTCCACGTGCTTCTGGTTCCCGGTCCCTGGATGGCTCAGCCAATCAGAGCCATCACAGCATCACCGGTCAAGCTGATGCTCACGGTGAGGAAATGGCAGAATTTCCGATTTTTCAATGACTTTGATTTTCAGATGGATTCTTCTAGACTTTGACCAAAGTGAAGCAGAAGGATGAGATCAGATCAGATCATCTTATTAGCGAACAGTTTACTGTTCCGCTAATAAGATGTAAACTTAGGCGCATTCCTCCCCCGTGGTGCTGAGAACACTACAGTGAGTTCCACTCAGTGAGGGAAGTGCAAGTGAAGATTTTCTCCCTAAGAATTGGGACACTGCTAACTAATACTATTTGTATTTATATCTAGTTAAGATATCCCATCATATTTATTTTTGTAAACGTGTGGTTAATGTAAAAACATGCGTACATGTGTGCAGTTCTTTTCCACAGAATGACGCCATTTTTCTTCTCGCTGAATGAGTTCTGGGGAGCTGCTTCGTTCCAAGTCAGCTCTTGAGAGCCCTCAGGCTGAAGGGATCATTTGAAGGGTTGAGGGGAACTT